TTCATATATTGATTCTTCGCTTATTTACTTTTCCGTTGGTACTGTTACAATCACTACAAAACACCAAAAGTATTACTTTTGCTACCGTTACTTTTGTTACCGTTACCATTACTATCATATTACTTTGCTGCTAAATACTTTGCTGCAGATACTAAGTTATCCAGGTGTGGTTGAATTGACAACTCAACTGCTAATACTTGAGTATATTCTTTCGCTCCCCTTGTGTCGAATCAATAAATTTGGGTTGAATACTCTACCCTCAAAAACTGTTGCGATCCCCTATACTTTTGGGTTATCAGGGAGCTGCTGTTCGGATGCGAAGACATCAGATGTAGTGGCGGTTGCCGTGTGCAATGGAGCCGGCACCGACCTGCATCGGTGGCTCGGTTCCTCATGCAGTGCCTCTATCAATCCGGCCACAAGGAAGCTAGCTCATGCAGTGCCTTCATCGATTGCTCGTAAGGTTTGTTGAACATGAATGAAATTTTTAGTCAAACATTGAGATAGCAAACTGAAGGATCCTTTGGCCTTCCACATGAAACCTCTCATTCTGAAGGCACACAACATGCGTGGTATACAATGATGAGAATAAAGGCTTTGGCATGCTTGGAGACATGTTTTGTTCTCTCTGACCAGGAAACATCAAAACTTGCTACCAAACAACGTCATACAAATGTCCAAAGGGAGAACTGCTCCCTATTCTGTACCTGCACCAATTGCTGTCAAAAAACAAAGATTGCGCGAGATTCCTTGATAAAGAGCCAAACCGCTCAGATTCACAAAGCATTTCATGCAGAAATCAACCTTCAACACATATGAAAAAAATAAAATTAGCTATATGTGACTGGAACAACCAATGCAAATTAAGCAATGAGAATAGACAGTGGATTCACATGAATTGTAAGATGAAGTAATATCGGATGGCGGTGGCTCCACACCTAGACCCGCTTTCCATCGTAGTCCCAGGACTTCCAGAACTGATTCTCGTGCACCTCGACGGCGGAAAAATCAGAACTAATGCAACACATTGTCCCTATAGATTCAGTCTTGGAAGCGAGCACCACCCCCACTGCAGGGACCGACTATTTACTGGTGCACGCCAGCAGTTAAGGCCAGCTTATTGGTAGGCATTTTTTCAAACATGTGGCGTGCACATGACAGAGTGAAAACTCTGAAAACTAATCCGTGATTTACAATCGTGAATCCAAATGAGCTACAAATCCCAACAGAAAAGGAAAACTCTTGTCTGATCCATATGAACCAGAACAAAAAAACACATAACATACAATGTTGTGTAATCTAGGTTGAGGAGACACAGAAAATAAGCCTCACCTACGCAGCAAGCAGGGGGCGCATCAGGAACACCCGATGCACAGCGGCAGCGTGAGACCCTCGTCCGTGCGTCCGCAAGGAGGGGCGACCTACCTCCTGTCCAAACGCCGGTGTGAGCGTGTGCCCTCCGCGAGGAACTACGAGTTGGAGAGGATCTCTGAGAGAGATGTGACCTTGGGGTTGGGGAGAGCCGGCGACGGTAGGCGGTCCGTCGGCGCGCGGCGTGCGGCGACAGGGGGGCCTGACGGCGTGAGGCGACAGGGGGCGGGCCAGCAGCGCGCCGGCGGCGCGTGGTGAGGCGGGGCAGGACAGGAGGTGGCGGCGCGCTGCAGTGGAGATCTGGACTTCTACGGAGCCGGCGACCGTGACTCCGTTGTCGGGCGGCGATGTCCGCTGCAAGGGGATCGGGAGGCATGGTCATGTGTACATTCTTCTTCTTCTTTTCTCATGCTCGTACCGGTTCGTGTCGACCTAATCATCAGAACTGCAGGTTCCATTATTAGAAAGGACGTGGCGGTGAATCCGACAGACTTATCCCGTGTTTAATATTTTCAATTCTTTTTGCAAGGGCTATTTATATTTTCATAGGGACAAGTGAAAAGAAAAAAAGAAGATAGTCGAGCGGAGCAGCGTGGGAGAACCAGCCAGCTTTTTTTTTTTTTGAGGGGGTGTTACCAAAACTTTATTCAACGGGAATTGATAGTGGCAAGTACATAAAAGCTGGGGGATTTAGAAGCCACAAATGGCGCCCCGAATCTAAGGTAACAGAAAACTTGGCTAAATCGTGAGCCTCCCATATATGTTCTCTCTTTTCATGCATGATGTGGACCTCTTCAAATTCAGTCATCATCTCTTTAATGTCTTGGATAATTGGGCTGCATCTACCCAGGTACGAGCTCTCTAGATTGTTGACCACTGTTAAGCAGTCTGTGGCTATATGAATATGATTCAAGTCTAAATCATGCGCCAAGCAAAGAGCTTCTCTGACAGCAATAGCTTCTAGAATCTCAGGTTGTGCCATGTCATGCATAATCAACGAAGACGCGCCTCCATAAACTCCGGACTGATTGCGACAGACCACTGCACAGGATCCCCTGTCTCCATGTCTTCCCACAGCAGCATCAACATTCATTTTCACACATCCGTTCAGAGGCGCTTTCCATGCTCCCTTCGCCTTACGAGGCCCAGGTTCTGAGGAGGTTGGCGCCCCCCCTTGCTGATGCCCCTTGGGGATCAAAGACAGATCATTCAGATATCTCTGCACAAAGCTGAATGTACTCAATGGCGACCAAAATTCCTGCTCGTGGATTGCTTTTCTTCGTGCCCACCAAATTGCCCATAGAGTAACTAGCACTATGACAACCTCATCTTCCTTCAGAGTATCCACTAGTTCCATTAGCCAAAACCGAGCATCATTTGATCTGATCCCAATCATATGTTCAACAAGCTCCTCATCTACTAGACACCAAACACACTTGGCCATGTTGCAATCAATCAGAGCATGCCGCCAATTATCCTCAGCATTATTGCAGATTTGGCAAGCACTCGAGTCTGCCATATTCCTTCTATTTCTGATAGATTCAGTAGGGATTGAGTTACGCGCTAAACGCCATGCAAAATTTCTAACTTTGCTCGGGACTTTAATTCTCCATAACTTTTTCCAATGGTTCTGAGCTGTTAATGTATTGGACGCAGAAGGCCTACCATCCAGCCAGTCCTCCCGCCTCCGCTTTGTGTCAGAGAGCATCCTGTAAGCAGACCGCACTGTAAACATCCCGCTGCGTTCATAGTGCCACGCTGAGGAATCCTGAATGTTTCGCAAGCTCAAAGGGATATTAAGAATTATCTGAGCATCAGGAGCTTGAAAGTACTGCCTAACTTTTTCTCTATTCCATGACCGCGAGTGCTCATCAATATAATCTGAAACCCATTCAGGAGCATCAGGTGTTCTCGGATGGAGCGCTGGCAGCATGAAATCACGCGGAAGCCAACAGTCCTCCCATGCCCGGATCGATTGGCCATTGCCCACTCTCTTGATCAAACCCTGCTTCAGAACTGAGATGCCCGCACATACTGCCCTCCAGACTTGTGAAGGATGGCTCCCCAACTCTGCCTGCATAACTTCACAATCTGGATAATAGACGGCCTTTAGAATCCTCGCACTAAGAGAGGTAGGATCTTGGACTAGTCTCCATCCTTGCTTAGCTAGCATCGCTAAGTTAAACAATTCTGAATCTCTGAATCCCAACCCTCCCTGGTATTTGGGCATTGTGAGAACCTCCCATGACACCCAAGCCACTTTCCTTTCACCATTCTTACTTCCCCAAAAGAATTTGCGTAACATAGTATCGATTTGCTGGCATAAACCTCTTGGTAAAATAAAACATGACATGGAGAAGGTGGGAACTGCCTGAGCTACTGATTTTATGAGTATTTCCTTCCCCGCGGAAGCCATGCATTTCTCGATCCAGCCCTTGACCTTGTTCCACAATCTGTCCTTTATATATTTAAAAGTCCCATTTTTCGATTTCCCAACATCCGATGGCAGTCCCAAGTACCTTTCAGATAAAGATTCGTTGGGCACATTCAAGACTCCCTTGATCAAAGCCCTCTTATCGTTCGGACAACCCTTGCTGAAGAAAATGCTAGATTTCCCGAGATTAACTTTCTGCCCTGAAGCATCACAGTAGCTTTGAATAATGTTCATGATTGTATGGGCTCCCTCCTCATTTGCCTTGAACATCAAGAGACAGTCGTCGGCAAATAATAGATGATTTACTGGTGGTGCAGTTGGGGCTACTGCCACTCCCCTGACATTGTCATCCGTGCTATGAGCCTTTAACAGACAAGAGAGCCCTTCTGCAGCTAGAAGAAAAAGATAAGGTGATATGGGGTCTCCCTGTCGAATGCCTCTTGTTGGATGAAAATCTTCAAGTTTCCTTCCATTCAGGAGTACTGAAAAGGACACAGTCGAAACACACTGCATAATTTTTTCCACCCAAGATTGGTTAAAACCAAGTTTCAACATCACGGCTTCGAGATAGTTCCACTCTACACGGTCATAGGCCTTCATCATATCCACTTTTAGTGCACAAAAAGCATTGTTCTTACTTCTCGTTCTTTTCATAAAATGAAGACATTCATATGCTGCTATAATATTGTCAGTAATGAGTCTACCTGGCACAAACGCAGACTGTTCTGGCGAAATTATCTCCGGTAAAATCCTCTTCAACCGATTAGCATAAACTTTAGATATAATCTTAAAGATCACATTACATAAGCTTATGGGACGGAATTGAGTGAGGGAGGTTGGGTTGGATACCTTAGGAATCAAAACAATGAACGTCCTGTTAATAACCTCCGGAGACTCTTGGGAGAACCAGCCAGCTGAGCAGGCTAACGAACGAGAGGGGGCTACCTGGGCCACCCCATATTTTTCTAGGGTACCCGGGCCACCCCATGTAGGCGTCTTAGCGGGCAATTGGGCTGGAATTCGCTTTCCCAGTCTGACCACACAACCCTAGCCTCCTCTCTAACCCTAACCCTTCCTCCCCATAGCGAAAAACCTTCATAGCTCCTCGACGGCGGCGACTGAACGCATGCTGATCTAGGGGCGGCGCCAGATTCGACTGTTGTCTCCGGGTTTGGCCCTTGCGGAGGTCTTAACAATGTTGTCGAGGGCATTTGGTGGTTACAAGAGCAGTTTCTCGGCAGATCTCTCCGTGCAGGCCTTACACCGCGCGTTTGGTACCCTTTTGCAGTTCGATAGGAATCATCAGGCTCACCAGCTACATGGTCATCCAGTCTCACCTGATGGTTTTCCCCAAGAGCATAGCAGGTAAATTTTATTTGTCACACTTCGTCATGTGTCGCAGCAATAGCTTTACTTGTCAGTAGCCTATGAGGGATTCGGAATCCTCTCCGATTAGATTACTGAAGCAATGTTTTCGAGGGGCTTCACAAGTAATAATTTCCTGACAATTTTTTTTCATAAACAGCGTGTTTTCTTGATAGTTTTTTTTGCAAATTGTGCAGTTATGTACGATTTAGTAGTATATACTACTCCCTCTGTTCCTAGATATAAGCCTTTTTAGGGATTTCAATAAAGTTAAAGACTTACGAAAACTACTTCCGTTGAATTATATATGAAAAATAATTTTAATAATAGAAAAACAGAAGCAATTTTCGTAAGTCTTAACTTTGGCTGATAGGTACTGTAGCTGGTATTGCTGTGATTGGTTTAGTAGGTGTTTTATTTTATGGTTCATATTCTGGATTGGGTTCATCTCTATAGTAATCAGAGGGACCAGCAAGGTTTTTGAGTCGCCGAGTTAAGCCAAGTCGCCAAGGCTGCAGCTAGTAGCTTGCTGGCTTGAGTCAGTGACTTGCCTAGACTAATCGCTCCAAGTCGCCATGGCAGTACAGTGCACTCCCGCACCTGTTTCCCTCCTTTGCATAGCCCATTAATGCCAGATAAGCAAAGTTATCAGGCCGAACAGGCCCAGCACGGCCCAGCTAACCACTCCCGGCCCTCATCCACTCGCTAAACCTAGCGCTGCCAGCCCACACTCCTTCATCTGCGCCTCTCCCCTCGAACTTCTTCCTCTGCGCCACCGGCGAGGAGAGGCGGCGCCTCCTCTCCCTCCCCCGCCTCCTCCCCAGCCTCACCCGCTTTCAGCTTCATCTCCTCCTCCCCCGCCTTAGTCTGTGTCGCCGCAGCCTCGCTCGAGGTCACAGCCGTCGCCGCGGAGGTCCAGCCGCCGTCGATCTGAAGGGGGTGCGTCGCCGGCGAGCTGCGGCGGCGGTTCCTAGGTCACGGCCGCGAGCGCCATGGCTTCCTCTCCTCCCGAGCTCCCTCCCTTTCCCTCTCTCTGTCGAGCCAGCAAGTCAATTAATCGACTAATTGCAGTGATTAATCGCAGAAAATCGCTGTTGAGCCAGCGAGTCGGGCGACTCGCTCTGCGAGCCAAGTCGCCCGCGCAAGCCAGTCACGGCGCGACGACTAGGCGATTAGTCGGTGACTAATTGGCGATTAGTCGGCGACTCAAAAACCTTGGGGACCAGATTGTAAACATGAAAAAGTAGGAGCTTAGCGGGTCCTTACCCCCCTTTATCTGATTATTAGAGCGGAAAGGACCCGCGGAATTTTACTCTTATAACGCGAATTGAATCTATTCGATTCAACCTTATGAAGCAACAAGAAAAAGAGATCACTTGAGGATCCAATATCTTATTCCACAAAGGAAGTATCTGAAAATCCTTGATTTAGTTTCGAGTAATAAACTAATAAAACCTTAATGGACCTAATTTGCTGAATCATTATAGATCCATAGTCATTCTGTTCTACGATTCCACTTCGACAAAAGGAAAGAGCATACCTAAATTCAATAGCTTTACGTCCGCTATCCCGATCATGATTTTCCTACCCTCAGGGGGAAAGTAAAGGCCCTTTCCCCTTTGGAAGGTTGTGGGCAAGGAGGGATTCGAACCCCCGACACCGTGGCGGCTAACTTCAAATAATAGGTAACTTAAAATAATAATAGCTATTATCTTAGGAATCGTCGATATTGGGAAAGTCCATAAAATTTAGGAACATTAGAGTTTTCATTAAAATAGACTTCGTTTGGTAGTATCGTTTCCATTTTTTTTACAATAAACTCTTGCTTTGAGTGAAAATGGTAAATTGTTGTACGGCTAAAATTGTTTTGTAGAGAGCATTCAATTATGCCACACCTGTTGTTTACACAATTATGCACTACTCCCTCTCTTCCCATGAAGAGAGCATGTACTTCCTTCTAGTGTCTATTTATTTTTTATTGGCATTCGTGGATTGATCACCAGATGAAACATGGTTAGAGCTGTAATATGTCTTGAATTTACACTATATTCAATTAATCTAAATCTCGTAACGTTTTGCGGTATGTTTAGTTTGTGCTAAAGGTTGCCATGACAACAAAGTTGGCTAGCCAATTTTTTTGAGGTTTTGCTTGCCAATAGATTGGCCAACATTGGCTTGATAAAACAGACTAGAGTTGGTAGTGGAGTTTTATCCAAGCAAAAGCCAGTGTTGTGCTCACAACCAAAAATATGCTAGGGTTCACTTTGGTCGCAATCAAACACATCCTTCTTTCCAACTTTTCAGTTAATATCTCCATTTCCCACTAATCATGAATTGCATGCACCAATCAACGCCCACAGCGCACCAGCTAATTTATCAATCATTGGTAAGTCAAACTAGGGTGGCATGCATGGCATTAAAATAAGCGTGGCATGCACCCTTGGCATGCATGACATTAAAATAAGCGTGGCATACGCCCTTGGCCTGCAGGGGTATTAAACTAGCCTGGCAGGTTGGACCGAGGGGAAATTTTGGAAGAAAGCTTTTCACGGGAATGGAGGGGGTATTTTATGATCTGTACTTAGTCATTATTACCCTCATATTGACCATTTAATAATACTATATAATCACATGAGAATGAATGAGTGGTTAATATTGTTTGGACCACCAGATAATCAAATCCCTAAAAAACAATAGGGGGCTCTTTGAATCACATGAATCCATAAATGCTGGAACAGAAAACCATAGGATCATAGTGTCATGACCATATGAACCCCACAGGATTTTGGCTTGTTTGATTGCATCATAGGAATGTATCACAAAAGAATTCTTGGGAAAAAAAATCCTGTATGATTCCATCCCACAAATCAAACGACAATCACAGGAAAAATCCTAAGTATTCCAACCCTCTAGAATTCCTATAAAAATCATTTGAATTAAAGATGCCCTAGAAGGGGAAACAATTGTAATCTTTGTATGTTTTCTGTTCTGTGTATTGGTTGAAAACAGGGGCGTTCCGTCAGCCTGTATGTTTGAACCAACTGGTACTGTTTGTGGAAGCTTTGATCAAAAGTTGGCCACACTGAGGAGCATTGGGGATTGTGTCAGTGAATATGAGCTCAGTGTGCTGTTGAAGAAGATACCTGTCCCTGTTTGTTATGTTTGGTGTGATCCCTCCCCCTGGATGCATATAACCCAGGTATGTGAATCAATATGTATATATGTGGGTGTGTGGGTGGGGTGTGTGTGTGTATTTGTAATCACTAGAGCTGTTAATAGATGTTGTTCACTTTAAAATCTTGCAGGAATCTAAAATCTGTCACTGGTGTATGAACATTTAAATATCTAGAGTTAAGATGATGTCAGGTGCCAACAATCTTGCAATACTATGGTTTTGGCAAAATCTTTGCCATGATAATATCGTTCATGCTCAATTATATCCGCTGAAACAATCATGTGAATTCAAATGATACCTGCTGGCAACCATTTATCATATCTTCAATCTCAGACTTACCAAAAAGAAACCTGTGTTACTGTCATTCATATCTTTATTTTCATGAAAAATGGGGTCTAGTAGTCACATTCAGGATATGTCTCTACTATATTACTCTTCCTTTTTGTATATCATATTGAATGTACTCTTTTAATGAGTCCAACTTAATATTGGCCTTTAGGACTCATGGATTTTGTGCTGATCATGCCCTTTGTTCTTCATGGTTGCTTTTTAGTATTTTCCCCTACTCTTTCCTTTGTTCAGTCCATGCACTACTCAGTCCATTGTTTTGCCACTACCTCTGTTTTACACTTTAACGATATGTATGTGAGATGATATATGTATGCTTTATTGTCAATGATGTAGTTGTTCATGAGAGCATTTTGGAGCTTATATATGATGTTTACGATAAATTTGCGTGTAACTATCCTTGTTGTGCACAGGGGATCTCAATGACAAGTAATGTTAATAAGATGGTTAAAGCTGGTTTCGAAGTTAAACTATTGATGGCAGATTGGTTTGCTCGAATGGACCCTCAGATCACGATGAAGGTTGGTAGTGATCTAAGTAATATTCAGACTATTGGCCGGTATAATATTGAGGTTTGGAAAGCAATTGGCATGAACCTTGGTGGGGTTGAGGTCGTGCAGTTGTCGGATAAAATAAGTTGCAAAACAGATGAATACTGGTCACTTGCAATGGATATTGCAAGAAAAAGCGATCTGAGCAGAATAAAGAGTTGGCTTCGTGTTTATGCATCAAAAGATCCAAGGTATCTTTATGTTCATATTATTGAATTGTTTAAGTTTATGTTTTCACATGCTAATTCCTTTTTTTTGTGTACTAAGCATGCGTTGTCAAGGAAGTATTGATCCTTATATGTCCAGAGAATTTTCAGCTGCTGAAATAGCTAATCCTTGCTTGCAGAGCGCTGGTATATTATTGCAGAAGGTCTGTATTTTAATTTTTTCTGTTGCTGTTGATTTTTGTTAGCTTGGCCTGATTGCATTGGAAGTAACAACCAAGACCTCAAGTACTTGGATATCTGAATTGTTAGAACAAAGACCAAATAATCCTGTGTCTGTCTCCATAAGAAATACTCCCTCCGTCCCATAATATAAGAATGTTTTTGACACTATAGTAGTGTAAAAAACGTTCTTATATTATGGGACAGAGGGAGTATATAAGAAAGATTGGCAAGCAAAAGCAAAGTATATAGAACTATAGACCAACATGACTGGATCTGTATGCTGAAACTGCACTAAGTACTTGGCAGCTAGAACAGCATCAAGCGTGCAACAATATTTTAGTTGAATCTTTAAAAACAACTGCTGTCCAGCTTATGGACGGAGAACAGCAAAAGTTGGGCAGCCCGCCAGCATACTCATGTTCCATGTTATCCAGTTCCCTATGTTGTATGAATGTCAAGAATTTACTAATGGTATTTCTGATAAAACTTACCATCGAGAATTTTATAATTTCTAATAACCGTGTCGCCATGGATTAGGATGTGTAACATGTGACCTCAGCTGTACCTGTCTAAACTGGTGGAGTTTGGTAAAGATGATCTAAGCATCTTGTATTGGTGGTTGAGACGATTGCATTAATGTTTATGATAGAGGTGTTGTTCTTGTTCTTCTGCTGATGCTTTTGCCCAGTTAACTAAGACACATAGTTGCACTCGAGGTGCTTTACAAGTTGCCTCTCTTAGAGCCATCACCAGCAGGGATTACAGTTTATTGGGGCCGAAGAATAAAAACATACTCTTGGGATCCAATCACAACCCCTATTTTAGGGAGGCACCAAAATATTGCCCTGAGCCCCTTCTCCTGTGGGTTCAAAGAGGGCCCTTTTCCCTGTACAAGGCGCGAAGACATTTCTGCTCCTGCCCGGCCCCTCCTCCGTCATCCTGCTGCTTCTCTCGCCCCAGCCGGTCTCTTGAGTTATCGCTCCCTGTGAGGCTGCTAAATTTGGCCTGCTCTGTTTTGGGCCGTTCTGCTTTCTTGATTCAATTTAAAAGTCCTTGATGCTGGAGTGTTTCTTCATCCTGGATTGGTGAGGATGAATTAGCTGTTACTTTCAACTGGTTCAGGAGAATCGAATTGTTTCTAAGATTCTAAAGGATGATTAAACCCATGAGCCGAATATACACTGCAGGGAAAGGCTTACAACTGCTTCAGGATAATTGAATTATTTCTAAGGATGATTTGTTTTGAGGCGCCATATGGTCTCTTAAATAAATTTGTAGACATTAGTCAGAGATTCTTATCATGAATAAATAAATGTGTGCTTAGAGGTGTTTTGAGTCGCTAAATATATTTACCCAAAAAATCATATTGAGAAAACTGACCTTGCTCTATGGATGTTTGTACACAAGTCCTCTGCCTATGGTTAAGCTAATTTTGCCAAAAATAATGCATAAACAAATCTGTAATACTGGTGTCTTTATGTTGTGACGTTAAATAGTTAAATTGACATCATATCTTTTAAGACCTTGTATGTCTGCTAGGTTAGAGTACTTCATAAAGTTGTTGCTTGCTGGGCTCCCAGAACATTTTCTTCTATTCTCTACTGGCCTCTGCCTATGGTTATGCTAATTTTATCAAAAATACTAGAAGCCAAATATGCACTGAGCCTCAATTGTCTCTAACAAACCTGGAATACTGGTGTCTCAATATGATCCGACTTGTAATGGTTATATTGACACAAAGCATATCTTTGCAAGGTCATGTGTTGCTTAGGTTATCTAGTGGGAGCATGTTTGAACTTGCATCTAAATATGCCTTCTTGCGTGCATAGGTTCGTTTGTTTACTTGCAGGATGAAGGCTAAAGTTGGTGTCGTTTGCTTTGGGTTTTAATATAGACAAAGTATCTCAACTTAAAATACAGTATTTCTATGTTTTATCTGGAATGCTTGCATAAGAATCTTTCTTTTTGCGGGTGTATAAAAACCTTTCTAACTGCAGGCGGACGTTTGGCTTTTGAACTTGGATCAGCATGGGGGGCACATATTAGCTAGGCAGTACTGCAAGCACATCGAGAGGGAAACTATACCAATTGCTTTCTTTAACAGTATCTTTATAATTGTGTTATACTTGCTCTCTTATTTTCCATATTTTTTACAATACATTTGCGTACACATACATGTACCCTTAACTTAAAATACAGATGTGCTACCAAATTTGTTAGAGCATCCTGGATTTGGGGGTTGTAACGATACAAGATGGACCATCTTCATGGAAGACTGTGAGTTCTGAGCTCTGATATTCACAAAGGTCCTTGTTTATTGGTCTAGTTGCATATGAGTTGTGAAGTTGTGGGGGTCAAATGTCCTTGCAAATCTTCGTGTACTATTAATATTGCTAGACATTGCTTTTTAGTTGTAGCACAATGCTATTTGATTTTTTAAACCAATGTATCTGTAGGATGTTTTAAATCCTAGCACATCGCTAGATGATTTTTAGTACCAATGGTATCTGTAGGATGATTTATGACTCATTTAAGTGGAGTAGTGAAGATGAGTTCTTGCAGAATTACGTTTGCAAGATAAAGGTCCAACATAGTTAACTGGTGATATTTGGATTCTATAACTTCATCCTAGATGTGATAGGAATTCTTTTATTTATTGTTAGAAATGTAGTTTTGATTGCTGATTTGCTGTCAATACCATCTTTTTTTTGTGTTTAATGTTGTGTACAATGTCAACAGTTGCCTTTTGTTTATTGCAGGAAGAAGTCTGTTCAAAAATAGAGGATGCTTTCTGCCCTCTTAAAAATGCAAAATGTAATCCGTGTTTGGAGTACATAAAGTATATTATCTTACCTTGGTTTGGAAAATTTGAGGTGCTGCAGACTGTAGAGAACAGTGGTATAAAGTAAGTTGGGCTGCCAAGTTACATTTCTTCTTGTTTCCCGTTGAATTTATGTAATAAACCAGTGGAATGTACACTTATATCATTCAGTCATTGCTATTATGTATTTCTAGGAAGGCTTTCAATATATTATCATGTAGATTTGGTTGATGATAACTTCTATGCAGGACGTTCATGTGCATGGAAGAGCTTGCTGCTGATTATGAAAGTGGCGCTTTGCATCCAATTGATGTGAAGCAGGCGCTTGTCAAGGCAATAAATATGATGTTGCAGGTAACTTTCTTTATCTGTCTTCTAACTTGCAGTGATTCTTATTCTATGTATGTTTTGTCATTTCTCTGATTGATTTTGAAAGTTCCGTTGATATCAATGGATGTATCGATCAAAAGATTTTGCGTATGATTGACACAATGTCTCAATATTAAATCAAATAGTATTAACCTAGAAGCCTAGTGGTATTGTTCATTTGTGCCCCTTTTCTAGGTTCGTTTCGTTCGTTGGATGACAATTGGACCTTTATTTGGCGCCTTCCTTGTATAATTTGTGCTAGACATTAGTACAAGTTAGTATTGTGCATGTCCTCCCCATGTCACCTAATCATCGACTAGATATAAAGGTTTGACTTGTTTCGTTCTTAGAGAGCCTGAAGAATGGTACAAGGACGAAATGCGTGAAAATTTATAAAACGGAAGAAACAAAAGGCTTTATTTGACGGTGTTCCTGGTCAGCACAAAAACCAGAGGAAGAAACCTTTTTGGCCTACAACTTACGTTAGAATCTGATTATGGCCATTTCTGGTTGAGCTTTTTAACCAGCTGGATATAAATGTTTGACTCAATTCCTTGTGAACTAGAGCCTGAAGGTATTGCATGCGGAAAATGCATGAAATTTCATAAAGCGGAAGAAATCAAAGGCTTTATTTGATGGTGTCTCTGGTTGGCACAAAAACAAAAGAAAGAAACCTTTTCTGTCTTCTCTCTCAGAACATCTTCTCTCTTATCCTTGCATTAGAATTTGACCATATCTGGTTAGGCTTTTTATAACCAACTCTCTTATCCTATAAGCTCTGACCCATCTCCAAGCAAGCAAACCTCTAAAAAACCAGCAAGTTCCGGTAACTCATCTGAAAAGCAGTTTGACCCTACTTTCACATGTTCTCTATGTACTAATTTTGGATTGCCCTAAAAGCTGATGGTATCCACCAACCATGCCCACTAATAGATACTTCTGCCCTGTTAGTATCAATTGGAGAGCAGTTACCAGCTGTTCCAGTGATTTTTCTCAGCTATGCCTAAGGACCTTCTAACGGCCCTTGTGTTCTTGTTCAGCATAATGTAAGGGCTGTCCAAAATTGACGTGGAATTTTGTGGTAGATGACAAGCTAGAGCCATGTTATTTAAACTAGAGCCATTTTATTCTAGTATTATATCTATATAGTTTTTGGTGACAGGTTTTATTTTATGAAGTATGAAAGAAATATTTACTGATCTTCATCCAATACGGCCATATGAATCAACTCCCCTCATTAATGTGAACGATGACACATTGCATTTATGCATGTCTGTGAGTTTAAGTGATTAGTCCTAATTGTTGAGGGAAGGTTGTTCTTTTTACCTTGCTTATGTGATCGACAAAATGTGCTTTATATTCTAGAATTATTGGAGCATTATAGTAGTTATTAATTATACATTCAAATATTTGTTTTTATCATAATAACACTTAACTCTGATTTTCATTTTTTCTGTTTCAAGCCTGTCCGTGACCATTTCAGTAGCAATGATGAAGCAAAAGAACTCAAGGAAGCTATGCAGGTACATTTTTTATCAACCCTATTTGGTCATTACGATGTAGTATAGCATACAATTTATAGGGTAGAAGCATTTCGTTGAAAACTTTTCTGTTAACTATAAGTTGGAAACCCAACTGTTTGTCTACAAATAAAATTTGATTTGGCCCTAAATAAGTCTGCCAATTTAATGCTGACTAACATAACATTCGGATGGTGCTAAACTGATACTCCCTCCATTTCTGTATACAAGCCCACTTCATATTTTATGTCAAACTTTGACCATTAATTTTATCAACGAATTGTGAGTTATATGCCACAAAAAGCATGCCATTAATGCACATTTTCAAAGAACTTTTGATATAATTTTGATGACGTATATCCCATATTTTGTTGACCAAAATTACAAGTCAAAGTTTGACATGAAAAATGAAGTGGCCTTGTATACAAAAATTAAGGGAGTTTAGATTGCATTCCGGCTGCCATAAGTAGGGACCTTGCTCTCTCCACATTAAACTTTGCGCTTGTGTTGTTTAAACTTTTCTACGTTACCCATCTATCTTCCGTTAGATTCTACTGGAGGAATAAAAGGTAGGAGTGGAACGAGAAACTTTACGTGAGCAACGTAGAGGTCAAATTTAAGGAGCCAAGTTTGTGACTTAAATGGTCTTAATATGACGTGTGCTGTCTGTGACCTTGGTTTGACTGTTGCACTAGTCGAATTTGCTTTCAACTCTATTCCATACTGTTGCTGCTTCAAAATGTTGGAAGGCGTCGTGAGCTAGTGCTTATTTTTAATGAGAAAATTGAAATACTGGGCTGCATACTTTCTGAAATTATTAGAATTGGGTTGTGCCAACCGTCTGCATTCTAATGCTTGATTTATTTGAAATTACAAGGCAGAGTTCTTAAAGAAACTTGCATCAAAATATTGACCATCTTCCTTCAAAATTATTATTTCTTTGATAAGATATCAGCCAGGGTATTTTTTCTTTTGTTATGTCAAGAAAATTCTATGGTAATCTTCCTTTTCTTCTGCAGATATTCAACAGTAATATCTAGTGAGCAAAAGGTCCACATGCAGGCGGATATTCATAGGAGCGAACGAGCACACCTGCTCACGGAATCGCTAGGCATCCGTTCGCATTGGGATCGAGGCCACTGAAGGTATTATCGAGTGTATACGTTGTCCAGAATGAACTATCCGGCCCATATAGTACAGGGGCGGACCCGCATCAACATTGGACGTTTGTTTGGCACTTGACGGACACAAAGTCATGTACCGACCTGCAGACTAACGGAACGCAACGGGAGCTCCTAACCGGCGCTCTCAGCGCTGGTTTCTGGTACTGGCGCCCGAAGGGGTAGCCAGAAAAAAGCGAAAAAAAACAACCGCAAAAATGGTTCTCCTCATGGACCGAACACGCGCCATAAGGACATAGAACAGTGTGTTTACCACCTCACCTACTTTGCGCTAATGAGCAAATACAGGGCGAACTTATATAAGCACATTTGTAGTTGCGTAATTCGCTTTGATTTTTATTTTTTTTTGAAAACATTTTGGGAAAAGTCCATGAATCACAGGAAAGTTCATTTGTTTTAAAAAAAATCGATTTTGAAAAAGAGTTCACGATTTTGAGATAAATGTCTATCAATTTTTAAAAATAGTTCACAAATCATGACAAAAAAAAGTTCACAGATTTGAAAAAAGTTCATCAAAATTCAAAAAAGGTTCATCGATTTTGAAAGTAGTTCATCGATTTTGAAAAAGTTCATCAAAGTTCAAAAAAGGTTCATTGATTTTGAAAAAAAAAATCATCAAAATTCAAAAAAGGTTCATCGATTTTGGAAAAGTTCATCAAAATTCAAAAAAGGTTCACCGTTTTTGCAAAAAATTCATCAATTTTGAAAAATAGATCACGATTTTTTAAAAAAGTCATCGGATTTGGAAAAAAGTTTACAAAAAGGTGAAAAAAGTTCATCAAATTTGAAAATAAATTCATTAAAATTGGGGAAAAAAGTCGTCAAATCTGAAGTAGTTCATCAACATTGAAAAAAGTTCACCAAATTGCAAAAAATGTTCATCGAATTTGACTAGAAGTTAATCAATTTTTTAAAAAAAGTTCATGGATTTTGAAAAAAGTTGATCAATTTGAAGAAAATGTTCATGTATTTACGAACCAATTCATCGTGCCAAGACGAGGAGAAAAAAGAAAACAAAAAGTTTAAAAAGGTAAACAAAGAAAGGAAAAAGGAAGAAGAACGAATACTAGGGTTCGAATCCTGGTAGCGCCCTTTTTTGCGGATTAAGACACAAAATAAAAACACGTAATGGGCCAGCCCAGTGCGCCGCGGGGTGTGTGCGCCCGTTTGCACCCATGCCTGTAACGGGCGCCGTTTAGGGAATGCCGAACGCAACATGGACGGTATACGCACGGCAGCATTTACGTTGGGTGGTTGGGCCGCCAAACAAACTCGTTGGTTTTTCTAGCCAGTCCCCCAAACTTGTTGGGTGGTTGAGCCTGTTTATTGACATGATAAAAGATTTCCCAAATCGAAGGAAGAACCACCCAAAGTTCATCAAACTTAATGTGGACGCGGCCTTTTTTGCGGATCAAGGAGTTGGAGCTATGGCAGCAATTATTAGAGATGAACGAGGTATTTTCTTTGCAGCTCAATGTAAGTTTATCCCATATGCAGCGGACGCAATGACATCAGAGGCAATGCGATGAGAGACGGACTGAACTTGGCAAATAGCCTAGGGTTCCAGCGAGTTGAAGCGGAATCCGACTCTCTAACGGTGATCAACTGCTGCTCCGGTCAGAGTACTTGGTGGGACGCGGCGGCAGCGATATTCGCGGAATGTGTGGACATCTCTACCTTGATTGGGAAGGTCAACTTTAAGCATTGTTTTCGATCAGCAAATCAAGCGGCACATGTGCTAACTAATTTTAGTTATTGTAATAAACTTTCTTCTAGTTGAACCGACGAGCCTCCAGATTGTCTGGTGAGCAAGCTCGTAGACGATGTATCTTTATGCATTAATCAATCAAGCTAGCCATAATGGCCTTTCCTCAAAAAAAAAAGTCACCCTGTACCCTCAGCGCAAGCAAGTTTGATTACTACTGTACCATATCATACAAAGATTGCCATTTCCGTTTCAGACATTACTTGCAACACTCTGAATGTGACCTTATAGTTACAGTAATAACGGAAAAACC